ACAGCGACTTGAATTCCTCCAAGGCCGGCAGGAAGAAAGCACAGTTGTGTCTGGAATCACCTGGAGGATTGGAGCGACCTCAACTTTGGGATCTGTCAAGTTGTTACCAAAAAGGGAAATAAATGTGGTAAAAAACTCAAAAAGGACAAGAGTAGCAGTACCAAAAATCTGCAAAATCATTTAATTCAAGTCCATTGCCTTTCTGACCCAAAATGTATGAAAAAACAAAAAACAAATCACTATATTATCTTCATGTGGAGACATGAGGCCCAAAGTAAGTATTTTATTCATGATTCATCTGTATACATGTTACTGATAAAAATTACTGATTGATGAAGATTTTCAAGTACTTGATAGCAAGAACTTGAAGACAGTGTTGGTCTACCTGCTGGCTGATTGTGAGCTTCCTTTTGATTTTGTTGAAAGGAAGTCCTTCCGCAAACTTTGTTGAATGCTCAACAAATCCGCCATGCCACTCATCAATAGCATCAAACAGTTCACCATTGCAACCCACACTTCACATGTGTTGATCCAGTCCAAAGAAACCATCAAGAGAAAGATTCTGAAGAAGCAAAATTACTCTCAAGACATTTTCCCATCTGTAAAAAATGGCTCACTGCTTCCTTTCAATCCCGGCAACAAGTGCTGCATCCAAGCAAGTATTTTCCAATGGCCGTCGGATTACATCTTGGTAACGAGCTGCTCTCCAGCCAGCATCAATTGATGGACTGGTTCTAGGCTTTAAAAAAAAAGTAAAATCACAGCGAAAAAGAAAATAAAAACCCTGCTTTTTATCTGTTTGATTTTTTACTCAACTCAAACCCGGGGTTTGGGAATAGTCCCTAGGTTGGAATGAGCGGACTATAAATGATCTATATACAAGCCTAATGGAGCTGTCAAGACTCGGGATATATGAGCATAACACGAAACTCCCCCGAAGGGAACACTAAATTTTAGAGGTGTGAGACTATTTGTACAAGTATGCATTTGGATAGTACCGGTAGATAATACCCGCTCCCGTTCCCCCGTCTGAACGGGGTACCCTCCCTTTCTTAAGTCGGTCAACAGAAAAAAAAGAAGAAAAAAAAGAAAAAACAAACTCGTAAAATGGTGCAACGAAAGTCAAACAACACTGGTGAGTAACAAACAACAGCAACAAAAAGAAACAGAACTAACCAGAATTAAAAACAAAACAACAGACTCAAATCGATCAACTCACTCCGAATCTCGTCTGCCAGTCACACCCTCAAAACCACTCAGCAACTCAGACTCAGACTCAGAATCGGAACAAGACTCTGAATCTGACTCAAGCAACTCGAGCTCTGAATCCAGCTCATCATCAGACACTCAACCCGAGGCAAACCACTCTGATCAAGAGAAAACCTTTGTCCTCCATCGTCACCTCGATTATGGCTACCATCATCCTAACAACCAACGAAACTCAAACTCACACACAGGGTTCGACCTCTTCACAGCCCGAACTTGGAAACTAGACGAACAACAAATTAAACAGTTCCACCAGCTTAATGACACTGACCTCGTTCAGATTCACTACCCCGTTCCCATCAAACCTGAACCCATCAAGAAACTCACCCTTGCCGACATACTTCCACCCCATAATTCATCATCACTCTCTAACCCTCTTCCTACCAAATCCCGCTTACCCAAGATTCCATCATCCCCCTTTGCTGGTCCCTGTGGTTGAGTCGCTACTTTACAGAGACTTGATTTCCACCTGTACTAACTTACCCCTCTCTCGTTTTGCACAGTTGCATCATTATACTATTCGGCTTATTCCTCTTTTGCTCCCTGCTACGATTCTACTGCCAGCTCGCAAACACTTGACCAAGCCAGAATTCTGTCTTACAGCAAACAAAAGATTGATGCTTGGTCTCGGCGATCACACCGGTACCAACATGTTCTCATTAACCCCGAACCACCTAGCACAGAAAATATCACCCCCTTCAAAAAGAAGAAATCTCATCACGCTCCTGGCATACGAGGAAGAAAACGTCAGAAAACCTCTGGCTCGACCTCATCCAGTTCGCCAGCCAAAGAACCTACAGTCCCTCTAAGTCCGAGTCAAGTCCGTCAAGAGATCGACGCGACTCTGGCTGAGACCTCTCAACTAATTAGTAATCTTCAAGAGAGACAGTTCGATAGACTGAGACACAGTCAGGATCTTCATCATCTTGACCCCTCCCTCTCCAACTCCTCTATCCCACCTCGACAACATCCTGCCTCACATCAGCCTGTCGTCCCGGAACCTAGTCGCGACGAGATTCTTGAAGCCCATCAACTTGTTCAGCGACTCTCAAGCGTGATTGCGCGTCGACCCAGACCGGCCCGTCCCATTGGTGATCAAGAGGGCCCTACATTGGAAGCTGAGCAGAGCGTGATTCCGTCGGCTGAATTGATTCGTAGGTCATACCAAGTCCTGACTGTTGGAGCGGTAGGAACAGAGGTGTCTCGGGATAGAGTCGTGTACAGCGGCCTACTCCCGCCGACGAATCCGGTGGGGATTTCGGAGTCGACACTGGTGACAGAACCCAGTCCTCAACTCATCTCACTGCTGGAAAACACGCAAAGAAACACGACTGGCCCGCTGGGAACCCCCCGAGCGCAATCTAACCTCCCGCTGATCTCCACCCCGCAATACAATTCCCACTCCGGTGCCGCCTCGAGACGCGACCCCAGTCTCTCCAACGCCCGCATCGGCTCCAATGGCCCTCCGTTGATGTCCAACGGGGGAGATTATCGGCCCTCTCTTAATGGCCATACCCTCCACACTAACATCTCCAAGCTTCAGCTTCTTCAACAGCAACAACGACAACACGGTCCTTCCGCCGCCCAACACCACCATCCGGCGCTGCAAGCCGAACCCTCGATTCCCGTGCGACCAGCCCCGTCTTCGAGCTTGCAAAGTGAGCAACAACGACATCTGCAGCAACTGCAAGTCCAGAAGCTCTTGAGCTCCTCTTCTTCATCCTACCACGCCCTGTCTGCCCATCACCATCCTCTCACCACTCCCGATATCCCCACCTCCCTTCCTGTCCCCCCCATCGCTACACCCTCCTTAAAACCCCTCCCTGCTTCCATCTCCTTCCTTGACCAGAACTCCAATAACTTGGCACATCCTAATCATCGCGCCCTTGCCTCCTCCTCCTCTCATCCTACTTTCCTTTGAAATCCCCCCCCCCTCCTTCTCTCTCTCTCTTTGACCACCAATCCTCATTCCCCGCCTTTTTCAGGCTTCATTCACTCCCTGGTCACAGTATGCAATCATAGCACTCTTGAGCACATTACATTTCCTTTTCCTTTTTTTTTGACTTGTTGTGCTTGGAACGCTAGCTTGTGTGAGTGTGTTCTTGAATGAAGAGTGAGATCCTTCTTTTGTCTTCTCCACCCTTTCTATTTGTATGTCCTTTTTTTTTTGTGCGTGGTAGAGAGTTCAGTAATCTTTGTCTATTCGTGCCATGGTCTACAGAGCCTCATGCAGAAGAAAAGACACTTAAAGATGAGAATTAAGACTAACAACAAAGACGATGGGTGTTTACTTTTTACAAAAACCAAGCCAAGGAATATGGATGACACCAAACAACGAAGTGAGAGAGAAAGGGTGGAAAGTGAAAAAGAATGATGGAGAGAGGCTGTTCTATGTTCAAGAGATGAAGAAATCTGGGGTGTTTTCTTGCTTTTTTTTTTCTTATGCGAATGCGTGGGAGAACGTGTTGTGTCGTCAGCGTCTCCATCTTGAAGGATGTGTGTGTATGGTGAGACACATGATGGATTATATAGAGTCGGTCGAAATGGACGAGTTCACGGATGACCCCCAAAAAAAAAAAAAAAAAAAAAAAGAGCAAGTTGTAGCAGAGAGAAGCTTACAGCCAGGTGAAGACAAAGACCCAAAACACGAGGATCAAGAACAAGAACCCTTATACGAGCAACGAAGGGGGAGAAGAGGAGGTCAGGAGATGGGGAGGGGGGGATCTACTCTGCTTTTGAGGCGGAAAGAGGACGACTCACAGTACCACCATCGACCATATTGCTTCTGAGCCATCCTGTCCATCCGTCTAAACGTCCCTGATAACGCCCCTGAAGCTTCTGAAAACGTGACATTCTTTTTAGTTCAAGGAAGGATTGTGTCAGGAGGACTCGATAATGTGCAAGGGGGGAGAGTAAGGAGAGAGGTTACCAAGGAGGCGATGAGGGATGAAGATTGTTTGACTTCTGTGCCGATGTTGAGGGAGATCTGAAGGGAAGTGGTTATCTGTTTTGATGAGTGGAAAGAGCAGCAGAGAGGAGGAGATTAGGGAAAGGAGACGGACGTCTTTGAGGAGCCTGACTTTAGCGCTGAGACCTTCGATAGCGTCGTCGTTCTGTGCCTCGAGCTGTTCGGCGGTGCGATGGTTGTGGAAGGAGGGGGAGGATTGGAAGGGCGGATGGAGTGGGGCGGGGTGAGTACGACCGTAGGTGGGCATCAGTGGCCGGGCATGGTCGGGCGTCGAGCCGCCGCTGGAGCCGATGGGAGGGCGGCCATACGACGCGGATGTAGTTTGCTGCTGCTGGTGGGCCGCCGCTGCAGTGCGGCTGGGGTCCCTGTGGGTCAATCTGGAAGCATCAGTCCTCCAGTCAGTCTTCCCTTGCGCTCGTTGTCGTGTGCTGATTCCACCTCGAGACGTACCTGCTCATCGTCGTGTTGCTTCAGCCTCAAACTCATCATGTCCAACCGCCTCTCACCCCGTATCCGCTCGTCCCAGAATCCGCTCCGAACTCCCATCCAACTTATCTCCACATTCTGTCGTCCCCCTAGCCCACCCTCCAGGGAAACTGTCTCCTCTCCAGACTGACTTCGCAATCCCTACTACACACACACACACACCAAAAAAAGAAAAAAGAAAAAAAACCCTGCGTTATCCCGCTCATCGACACTGCGGTACACTGTAAAATGAAGAGCCGAGGGGAACTGAGGATTTCTGGTGACAAAAGGAATACTCTCACGACAACGGCAGGATTTGAACCTACGCGGGAATATCCCAATTGATGGTAGACATCCATGTCTGGACAGTCTTAGAACCAAGATTCTAGTCAATCGCCTTAACCGCTCGGCCACGTTGTCTGTGACGTGGATGCAAAGGAATGAGTATGTCAACGCTCACGACGAAAAGGACCCCAAACTGTTCCTATAATTATCCCTTATTCTTTGATGTAGTTCATGCAAACAAGCAAGAGATAAAAAAAAAAAAACACAAACTGGATATTGATCATCTTGATGATGACTTGGAGATCCAAGTCTACCACCCCACACATGATGCATAGAAAAAAAAAAAAAAACCTCTGGTGGAGAATGCCTTGCAAAGCTACAGAATCATCTAAAAAAAAAACTGGGGGGTCAGCTTGGAATTTAAAAAAACTTAAAAAAAAAAATCCCCATCAAGGATCACTGCATGTCTATATGAAAAAGTCTTCCATTGGGTCGCGTCTGTAAGAAGTGCTGATATTGCTCTTAATCCATTTTTTTTTTTTGTTCTAAAATTAAAATCCTCTGGAATGGAATCCTAATTGGTGTAGTTAGTTAAGGTGATTATTTGTGGACTTTGAGTTGCCCAGATTGCTTAATCCGGAGGGTCTATATCTACAACCCAAACATTGTCTGGGGGGTGATGAAAAATTTGACAACAACTGTCAGCTTCTCACCAACAAAAAAAAAAAAAAGCTTGGAATTTTGAATTTAAGGACCATCCATGTTAAGCAATCTAAGACTGACCCCAGAAGTCCTTCTCCATTTTCTTTTTTTTTTTTTTTTGCCCTTGGCCTTTCCTCCCCTTATTG